TCTCTAGAGTTTCATCCTCATGAACAGGATCCTGGTGTCCATCGTGAGGCTCTGTGTGCCACTCTCCGACTCAGGGTTTCTCCCCTTTCACAGGGACAGACGAGGAGCCCTGTCAGGGGAGTAACTGAGCAGATGCGAGTGCACGCTCAGGTTAGGGGGAGAGGTACAAGGCCTGTCCTCCTAGAGGAAGAGCATGACCTGTTTCTGTGACCCAGCATCCTCACACTCAGCAAAGGGCAGTCTCGTCCTTAAGACAGCCACATGGCAAAAGCTGCGAGATACGTGGAGTTCCACAGCACTGTGAGAAGGTCATTTCTCCTGTTCTGTGCTCTTCTCCCTCACCGTGAACCCTCCAAAGCTCTGTATGTGAAAGAAGAGTGTTGAATCTTTGTAAAATCATATAGGAATCTTCCGCCATTTTTATGTTGAGTTTTGTTTCAATTGTTACAAATTCCAGTACTATGTAAATCTTCGGAATATTCTGTTCAGTTTCTTACTGAGCTCTCTTTGACTCTGTACTTCAACAGTGGCAAGACGTCTCCTCCTAATCCTTCTTCCACATTCTCCTTTCCCTCTTTCCTCTCCCAGCTTTCTCCCTTTAATACCCTTCCCTGTATTTAGTATTTTGTTTTCAGTGTTTGAAGCCCTTTAAAATGTATTATTTGGTTACCAAATGTATCTGGGGACACCTACCCACCAATCCCAGTGTGCTGTTACAACCATAAACGTAGCTATTTGACGTGCTAAACCCTGTTGATGAATGAATGAGCGGCCTGCTCCCTGTTCCTCCCCCCAGGTGTGAGCTGAAACCCCACCAAGGACTAAATTTGTGACTTTGCTTTCTTCCCTGCCAAACACTCAGTCCTCGCTATCGAGTCTCCATTCTTCTCAGGCTCCTGGTTCTTTGCTGATTAGCCCTTCCTTCCTCCGTAATGGAAGCTTTGGAGACAGGAAAAATAGCAGCTTCCTGTTCTGCCTGTTTATTATGTTTAATTAACTCCTCTGTGGCAATTTCTATTTTTGTTGGCCAGGATAACATTCATATCTGAAAATTTCATTTTAAGCTATGGTTGAATTCTCAAATAGTCACTGTATTAGGTTCACTTTGGGAGAATTACCCTCCTCCCCACCACCAAAAAATCCCGAGTCCTCTCAGTTACTCAGAAGGTGACTCACAGGTGGCGATGGATGGTCATGACTTGGCACAAAAGACCCTGAAGTCCACACCAAGGAAGTGAAAGGGTAGACATGTCGCTGTCAGCGTCTATGACCCATGTGTATGTCTGCCAAGCAAAAAGAGAAAACTGGCAGGTAGGTTACATTTCAAACCAGAATAAAAATTTGGATTCGAGTACACCAAAACTCTCCATGTATTAGAGACTTTCTTTACCTGGTGTGGAATCAAATTGAAAAGAGTGATTGACCAGCATGTCCAGAGCTGTTGGTTTTTGCTGCTATGTGTCTTTCATATGTTTATCTACATGGGAGATATCCCGAAAGTCCCTTAACAAGAGTCTGGTCTTCCAGAAAGTTATTCTTCACTGTGACAAGCACCACAGCTAACAGGCGCTAGGAAGTGAAGCCAATGCCACTCATCCTGCAAGCAGCACCCAGATTCAGCAGGCTGTGGGCGCCTACTAGCTCTGTTCCCCATCTGTATCAGTTAGATTCTTTCCATCGTAAATAAAGAAAGCTTCATTCAAAATGGCTTAAAGAAAAAGCAAAGGAGTTTATTGATTCAGGAAATGAAAATTTGAGGGAGAACTCATTTCTAACACTAGCTGGATTCAAGGTCTCATCTCCCTGTCTCTGTCTCTTAATTCTGCTCTCCTCTATCGAGTCTGTTCTTAACGTTTTCACCTCGTGGTGGCAAGACAGTTGCCGACAGTTGCTATTGTTTACCTTCCCCTTTCATGAATTACTGTTGGAAAAGTCTGCTTCTCTCTCAACCATTTCAAACTTTTTAAAAAGTTCTGGAATTAAGTTGGACTTTGACTAACTAGATCATGCTTCCTCCCACCTCTGAACGTACAGCTGAAGATGGGGGTGTACATGCCTATTGGCCTGGCCCGCACACATGCCCTGCTTGTAGCCAACCCTAAACCACCTGGTCTGAGAGGAAAGTGAGGGTACTTCCTTAAGGAACATATGGGTTCCCTTACCAAATGAAGTGGGATTAGATAACACCCAAGTAAGCAAATAAATGTGCACAATACCCAAGTCACTTCTGTACCTTCCTCTATGAAGAAGGTGAGCAGAGTGCTCTGATATTTGCATATTTATTCTAGATTTTCTGAGGCAGATTTGAAATGCAGCTTATACCCAGTTAAGTTTTCTCCCACCCTCCCTCTAGGTAGCTAAGCCTGTTTCTATTGTTTGACTCATGTATAATTTCTCCCCTCAAGTACTATTCCTATCATATTGAGAGGGATTGTCACTTCTCACAGACTTCAAAATCTTTTATACTTATGCAATTTATAAAAAAGCTTGACCACAAATCTATTTGGTATGTAGGTGTGAGTATTTGAGGGAGTAATAAAAGTAGATAGTAATAATTTAGAAGTTCTTGGTTAGATACTAGAGGACTTCAAAACATTTGTAGAAAAATGGAATTAAAACATGAGTTTATTGGGACCAGCAGATGGTGTAATAGTTAGATCGCTGGGCTCCCATGTAGTCGACCATCATTCGAGTCCTAGACCCAGAGACTTGAACTTCACAATGGGCATGTGTGCATGCATGCCCAAAATCCCGAGAAGAAAATGGAGGAAAAGGGATTATGTCATGGCTATCCCCACTGGGAGATGATTTCTTGCTTTCTGTCTCTCTCTCTCTCTCTCTCTCCAGTAAGTGCATGTGCCCCATAGCAAAAATCACTCACAAAAACAAAACATAACAAAAAAAAGCACGACTTTATTTCAGTGCAAAAACATGTTGAAATTCATGCATAGTAGTTTTTTCATACTATGCATCTTCTATGAATTTTTTGAAGGTCTGTCATTACACCATAGAAATCATATTCAAGATTCTGTGAGCCACAGGTACCTGCTCTGGATTTCAGATCTTAGCCAAGACTTCACAGAAAGTTTCAAGGACAGCAAGAAAATTAAATACCTTATTCTATCCTCCCCCGACATGTTCCAGTTTCAATTTCTAAAATATCTCAGGTAAGGATATTTATAACAGAATCAATTCCAGATTATAATTCACTTTAAAAAAATAATTATTGTGTTTATTCGTTCTTTTTTTTTTTTTTTTTAATTTGACCAGAGAGAGATAGAGAGAGAAAGCAAGAAAGCAAGCCACCAGGTCCAGAACTCTTACCATGGTTGCCATTTGGGAATGTCCAGCGCCTTAACCACCGCACCACCTCCTGGCCCCTACAATTCACTTTTTAAAAAATTTTTATTTATTTAATTTTGTTATTATTATTATTTATTTTGCTATAGGGCATGTGTGCTCACCAGAGAGAGACAAAGAAAGAGAGAAGGAAAGTGAGAAAGCAAGCCCCCAGTTCTGGACTAGAACCACAATTGGCGATGTGGGAGTCCAACACCTTCATCACCACACCATCTGCTGACCCCACGACTCACTTTTTGTGTCCATAGAAACCAATCATTTTAATGTTCTGTCAACTTATTTTGGAAAATGAGAATTTGTAAATAAATTACCATTAAATTACCAATAAATTACCACTGTGGTGCAAATGTCTTTGACTCTCCAGACTTTTCCAACCTGCACTTCACTAGAGAAAGCCTGGCTATTCTCTCAGCTCTTAATTGGGGCTCTCCTCACCCTGGCAAGATAGACAATTTCACAGACCTGGGGAAGGAGCCCAGAGACTAATTCCAAGCTTCCTGCTCAATAAGGTATTAGTTTCCATCCTTCCTAGCATCCAGGCATTTTAGGAAGCATGAGCTTTAAAATCTTACCCTAGTATGCTGCTCTTTGATGCTTTCTCTACCAAAACTGACAGCTAGGAGACTGTGTGCAAAGTGAGAACTTAGGTGCCTCATGTGACTTGTGCTCCATTTCCTTCTCTCCCAGGGACGTCCGCCTTCTGATAGAGTTTCTCTAGGTACTGCTCTTCCATCATCTCTCACCGGGACAAAACACCCTCCCCAGAGAAACATACCCAGGACCTCATGGTCTTCATGGATCTTCTGCTCACATCCTCACTCCAAGAGGAGGGGTCGGGCTGACGGAGTGGGAAAAGCAATGCCTCAGTTTGCAGAGTGATGACTCAATATTCATTTGGAAACAAAATATTATTTATATAAAAATATTTCTCTTATAGAACACTTTTCTTTAAATACAGTTGAAAAAATAGTTTTTGAATAAGATTATCTGTGTCACCAAAATGTAGTCTTCCAGGTGGCAATTGACATTGACCCTGACTGTTTCTTACCAATCAAATCTATGCCAGCCAATTGGTAAGTCCATGGTGTTATTGAAAGTCAACTCTGGGTAGGGCATCATTAAGATCTTAAGGTGGCAACAAAGAGATTAAAGAGATGATTCCTTCATGAGCTCAGAAGTGGAGAAGAAAAGTCACTGGGAAAAGAGATCATGCTCATATTTTTAGATAGACTATTTTGAGTTCGTTTTAAATGACTGGAGGATGCCTTTTTTAAGGAGAAGATTCTGGAGAGTTATTGCATACATAAACCTTTACTCTGAATATTGATGTCAGAACCAAAGAATAGTGTGTTTTCAGAGGCCAAGTTTACATAAATATTCCCAGGTAGCGGCACCACATGTTACAGTTTTGTAACTGAAGACAGACTACCTACATTTTTGGCTCTATATCTTGTCTATTCACAGTCTAACCTTTACGAGGGCTCTGCAAAAAGTTCATGGAAAATGCATATTATGCAAAAGCTATGCATGGATTTCAAAAAAAAAAAAAATTGCCCCACATGAGCTTATACTTAAATTCCAGTTTCCACAACCTTTATTTCCAATGCATGGAAACATATCATTATAGTGGCTAAGGGAGCATGGGGAGCCATGGAAGTTGCAGTACAGGTATGATGACTTGGAGGATAAGAAAACATGAGGAAGGCACATGGGGAAGAGCTTGCATCAGCAAAGACCCTAAGGTAGGAAGGCTCAAGTTCAGTTCAGGGTTCAGGAATTGCCACCGGGTCGTCTGAAACAGCGTCTCTGAAGAGTAGTTTTAAGAAGTTCAGAAGGTGGGATGGGCTCAGATTGGAGACGGTCATGAGTTACCTTTCTTTTTTGAAAAATTATTTTCTTTGTTACAGAGAAAAAGAGAGAAACAGGAAGACAGGCACTCCCAACAGGGTCATCATGCCACAATTCACCCCCAGTCTCAGACAGCCTGGATCACAATCACATGCGTGCACACACACATTGTGTTCAGGGAGGTCCCAGAACACAAACTCAGGACTTTTCTCACGTGGGCCCAGTTGCATTTCCTCTGCACCATCACCTGGCTCCTTGAGTTACCTTTTAAAGCTTTGGGCTCATGGAAAGGACTCAGTAAATACTTGTCAATTAATTTATTAATGCAGTATAGCAGAGGTACATTTGGACTAAATGGAGGGAAATATTTCTTCAAGGTAAGACATGATTTTTCATTTCGACTGTCAGTCACGGAGCATCTAATCTGTATCAAAGCACTTGCTTTCAAGGTGTCAGGAAGTATATGGCAATGACCCAGACAAAAACCCTGCTCTCAAGGAGTTTATATTTTAGTGCTGATGGGGGCAATACATTGTAAGAAGCTGAATAAATAAATGAGTAATGAAGCTCATCTCACATAGCGATTGGTGTTAGGCAGCTCATAGAATGATAGAAAATAAGCTGGAGCATGAGGACTACTTTAGCTAAAGTGATCAGAAGGATTTTTAAGAAGGTGACAGATCCAGCCTGGTGGCACAGTCCATAGGGAACTAAACTGCAGTGCTGGGAGCCATATGGCTGCCCCAGAGTTCAGACCACAAGGACAGCCTGAAAACACATCAGGCAAATGTGTGCACAGCCAAAATCCTGTTGAGCTGGAGGACTAAAGAAAGGGGATTGCGCCGTGATGACACCAGTAAGGGTGCTTTCTCGCTCTTTCTGTGTGTGTGTCTCACTTGTGTGCGCACACATGCTATCATGGATAAAATAAACTTAAGAAGAAAAGGTGACACAATCATGCTGAAGCACTGAAGAAACTTCAAGCACAGACTTATTTATACATAAAAGGGTCCTAGTAGCAAATTTTAAAAATAAAAATAATGAAAAATAAAATTAAATAAACAATTCCTTAAAAAAAAAAAAAAAAAGTGGGTGGGGGTCCTTCAGTTCCAGCTCACATTTTTTTGTGCCAGGGCCCGAAGAACCTTCTCGGGCCATTGCTAAGATAGCACACTCTCCTTGCTTCTGCAAAAATAGCTTGAATCACCCAGACTTGCTGGCTGACCTCAGGCTGGTCCACCATCCTGCTATCATTTTCTGCTTTTTTATCTGTGAAATGGCAGGAACAAACCAGTTTGTACAAGTTCCTTTGAATTCCAGCATTTTGTGATTCCGTGACTCCTACCACTGCATCCTGTCTAGATGCAGAAAGATACCAGAACCATTGCAAATAGGCTACCGGGTACTTGTAGTTATCCTTGAACCTAGAACTGGGATGGTAGCCAAGATGAAACAGTCCATTGCTGGGCTCAGAGCCCTGTGGCCATGTGCTAATGGCATTTAGCATCTGTGCCTCCTCTTCTGTGTGCTAGTTTGTGCTCCAGGAGTTGGATTTTTTTCTCTTTTTTTAAATGACATTCCCAGACTTCCTTGAAGTTGGGCTTCTGGATGGAAGTTAGGTTCTGTCAAGTAGTTCTTGGTAGAGATTTGGAAGGCTAAAGCGGGGCAGGGCTGTCTCCCTGCTGCTGGCCAGCATGGGTTGAATGTGCTGGGCTCTTCTATAGGGACAGCTGCCCTGTAGTTCACCACTGGCAGAGACAGTGGCCAGAAGTGAGGTCTCCTGATCCCTGGATGCAGCAAGAGCTCATTCCTAAATAGCACTCCTGCAGCACAGTGCAGCTTCCAGACTTTCCCACCTGGGAATGGCTGTTGTAGAAGGCTTTCCTAAGCCCCCCCTCCTCCTCTTGGCTAGTTTGTAAGCACCTAATTCCCTGCAGACTGTCTGCATAAGAAGCTAGAGAGGTTTCCCTTCCCGTCAACTGAGCCCTTACTGATGGAGGCTCTGATGTAAGTTCAGAGTAAGAAAATGCTTTCTCCTACCAGAGTTATTAAAATTTTAAATATCTTACCTACGTCTTTATTTCCAAACTGGCAGAAGATCCATAGTCCTAAGAATGACAGTTCCCTACATAAAGGATTCACTCCCTGTACCCACCCCATGTGGTTGTCAGGATACATTGTTCTCTAGCCACAGTATAAACAGGGTTCAGGGGTAGATAGATCGGAATTATTTGCCAAGTGTTAAGACACATTACTGGGCAGAGGGATTAACAACCAGAACATACAGCAGTAAATGAAAAAATGCCATTGACTTACAAAGAAACATTTGAGGCAGAAAAGTCATTTGTAAAACCAAGGACAGCAGGTGGCATAGTGGTTAGGTGCTGGACACTCCCACATGGCTGACCATGGTTTGAGTCCTGGACCCGGTAGCTTCTTGCTTTCTCTCTTTCTCTCTCTCTCTCTCTCTCTCTCTCTCTCTCTCTCTGGTAAAATTAAAATAAATAAATGAATAAATAAAATTAAAAAAAAACAAAATAATTCTTAAAAAAAGGGACTCATTTGTACATAAAACCAGAATTTTCCAAGATTATGAAGGAGTGATTTTTTTCCCCTTCCTCTTTCTTTCTTGAGGAAAATCATTGGCTTTCACTCAGTACACTCTAAACAGGAACATAAAGAGTTTGATAATATATAGAGAGATATTTTGGTTTATTTTATGAAGATTTTACAAGAATATAATTCTAAACTATTGACTAAGGCTTTCATAAAACATTAAATATATACCAATGAAGTCCGTTTGTCCACTAAGTTCTCTGTCCAAAGACAAGACAACAGAACAGCAGCAGCACCAGCACTCCTGGTTAGGGCTCATCAGAGAGCAATTTCAGAGGCAGACAGTCCATCTAACCCTTGCATTTTATACAGAAAATGATCCCTGAAGGCCACTTGTAGTCAAACTAAATGCATCTAAACCTATTGTATTATTTGCCCATAAAAATCACCTCTTCACCCCATTTTCATATTTATGGATCCTCAAATGAAGGGACCCTCAATCTAATAATTAAACAGGACTAAAGCATTAAGAAAAACGTTCACTGCAGGTAGCTCTAGATCTAGCCTCAAAATTAAGCAGAAAGGAAATACAGAGAAAGAAAAAGAAGTGCCACTCAACGATCAAACCTGAAAACTGAAATTTAGGACCTCTAGCCCAGTGAGATTCTCCTCCTTTGGGGCGTACAGGATCAGTAACGAAACAAGAGTTCAATGAATGAGTTCTTCAGCTAGAACATGAAAACCTTCTTTCTTAGTTTCCTCACGCTCCCCTTATTTATAGACAATAATCTCACAATTAGCAAAGAGTTGAGCAGGAAATGTCTTGCCTGAATGGAACAAGTGCACCAAAAAACAAACTGATCTGAAAATGAATTGATGAGCAACTTGATTCTCAGTTAGTTGCCTCTTCCCAGTAGCCAAACCTATTGATCAAATGGTTGGGATGTGTCCCAGGCTCCTTTGGACACGATGGGACACACAAAGTAGAACAGTTTATAGAGGGGATCTGACTCTGCCTGGCCAGGGAGTCTCTCCACAGATGCATGTACATTTGCAATGTCTCACTTGACGCTGGTATCGTTCATTCATTCGCTGCATTGTTTCTTTAATAAGTTGCCTTTCCTGGCTGAGAACCTTCTTGAGAGATGGGAATTAGTAGGAAAGAACAGAGGATACCTTGGAAAGAAAGATCTTGTTAGAAAGCCACAGGAATGGCTGTAAGGGTGAAGATCCACACAGAGAGGAGAAAGGGCGGACAGGGGTGGGGAGGCCAGTGTTTAGGGTCCACTTAAACACATCAGTCCCTCAACAGTCATTTCCTTACCTTTTGTTTATTTGATAAACAGGTTTATAAAAAAAAAATGCTGAGCCCTTACGATTTCTATCTGTGGCTATATTTTATCTATCTTTAATAAAAGTGCCAACGAGCAGAAGTAGAAATGTCCATGACACATTTCCTGACTTGGACAATCCTCACGGTTAAGTTTGTAGTTTACTGGCAGCTTTAACTCAGGGGCGGATGGGGGTGGGACAGGGCCTGGGGTGCTGGGAAGGAAGGAAGAACGATGCCTCTAGAAGTAAATTGAGACAAAATTCCACCACATGGGCACCAACATCAGGAAAGAGTTCAATAGAATAAATAATCTTGCGCGAAGAAACCTTGACACAGAGTCTCTGAAATCAAGGTCTCTGGAAAATGCAGACAGGAAAAATGTTGTGAATACGGCACGACTTCTTTTGGCAGAGACCTTGAAAATTGAAATCAAATGCTGCAGTCAAGCAACTTCTGAGCACTTTCAAGTCAGTCCAGTCGTATTTCATCTGTCGTCAAACAATGTGAGAGTTTAATAAGAGCAACAGGAAAAGTTCTAGAAGGAAAGAACACTTCCAACTTCCATTGTTCTGCAAAGACTCCCTCCCAAGTATTTTTTCCCCCTGCAGTGACTGAGTGGGCGTCAGATGATTGGAACAAGAGAAAAGGTAAATCGTCTTCTTTTATTCCAATAAAAAAAAAGTGTCATTATTTAATTCTTACATACTTCTGGGTACCTGAAATGCAAATGTGTTTGTGTGATGTAATAGAATTTGTGCTTGTTTAGCCTCCCACCCACGTAATGGGAAAACATGCATGTGGTAAGAAAATGTTCTTTGAGGTTCCAGCCCTCTGCTTGGGCTTTGAGATGGTTTGCAGAATGGACTCTGCAAATTATTTCACTTCGTTGTGATTCATCGGGGCATCTGCAAAATGGGATGGGTTGGTGGTCCTGAAACGATTTATAGAAGCCTCAATGTTACTGTGAAGGTACTCAGACTTCTACAGCCAACCACAGAACTTATGTTACATACATGATAATAACCTCCACCATCAGATACTCAGGATTCTGCCTCAAACGTGACTCGGTATTTATTAAGATTTCTTTTTCCTTTAAAGTTTGAGTCCTCTACATTAGAATCATAGGTATCAATGTTTTTGGGTGAACAATAAGGCTTAGAAAATTGGTAGAGGATAGGTTCTTTTGATGCTTTTTAAAAAATTTAAAATCATGGGACCAGCAGATAGTGTAATGGCTACATTGCTGGACTCCCATGTAGCTGACCATGGTTCGAGTCCCGGATCTGGTGGCTTAAACTCACGCAGGGCGCATATGCGTGTGTGCCCAAGATCCCGAGAGGAGAATGGAGGAGAAGGGATTGTGGTGTGGCCATCCCCCCAGGGTTGATTTCTCACTTTCTGTCTCTCTGTGTTTTTTGGCTATTACACGCACCCTATAGCAAAAACCTCTCCAAAAAACAAAATTAATCATTAGAAATTTATAAATCACAAATAGTACAGAGAGGTCCCATTTACCTATCCTCCAGCATCCCACAATTATAACATCTTACATAATTGTAGTACAATATCAAAACCAAGAAATTGACATTGGTACCACACTATTAACTAGATTCAGACCTCACTGGGCTTGGAACAGGTTATTGAAACAAGTTGGACACTGCTAGAGATAACCTGAATCATCTGCATGAAATTTATTCTTGGAAGTAGCATGCTATAGGGTATTTGAGCTTGTGGTCATAAGAATTGTATATCTGGGGCAAATTACTTAGTGTCAATAAGCCTCATATTGTTCACTTCTAAAAAATAAAGAAATAATAATACCAATCCACTAAGTTGTTATGAGGAAATAAATACAGTCCAATGAATGACATATATTACAAACTCCTCAGATAATAGCTTTTTTTTTATTTCCTCATAAGAACTGACATTTTAGCTCCCAGAATTTTGTAGACCACGTGCTCTCCTACTAATCAACCCAACCCTTTTTTTTTTCTTTTTTAAGGTTTGTGCCACAGGGCACATGAGCTCTCCAAAGAGACAGAGAGAGATAGTAAGAGGAAAGTGAAAACCACCCCCTGCCCGCCTGCCATGAAAGATGGCCACACCACAATCCATTCTCCTCCATTCTCTTCCTGGGATTTTGGGCATGCATGCATATGCACCCAGTGTGAGTTTCAAGCCTTAGGGTCCAGGACTGGAATAACGGTCAACCACGTGGGAGTCCAGTACCTTAACCAACAGGCCACCTGCTGGCCCCCAGCCTGGCTCTTGATGATGATCACCATCATCATTTTGCTCAGGCTGGTCTGTATTTTACAAACCACATCCCCATCAACAGCACTTCCTCAAAGGATTTGAAATGAGAATTTTCAACTCTGGGAGAAGTTCTCTTAGGAGAAAGCTCCTACTCCAAGAAAGTGAACTTAAAACTTTGGGACCCCTTCTACCCAGCTATCCAGCTGGCTCGGATTCCTCATGTCTTTGTGGGCTGGTGCCCAGGTGGGAGCTTAGAGACAAGCTGGACTGTCATTCCATTCATTTCCTTCCCCTGATTCTGAGGCAGACCCTGGAAGAACATAAGACTTTGACGCCAGGATCAAAGAAGGAAGGAATCAGGCAGTCCTTATGTGTGGGGTTTCTTACCGATTTCCTGACTACCTGCTAACCATACCGTTGGTCCTGAGGGTGACTGAGAAACCAATATGGCTTCCCATTTCCAGGTTTCATTGTGTATCACAATAGGTTGTCTATTACAAGAACTGGGAATGTGCCATCCTTCATTCTCTTTTTGGGACAGCGCCTGCTCTGCTGTAATGCTCAATTAATACAGAACAGTAACAGCTCTCCTGGCCTAGTGCTCTGGAAGCAGTGCTGTGCAGGGGATGAGTCTGGTGTGGATTTCCTCAGAGCCTTGGTTGCCACCAGAGGTGCTGGTTGGAGGATGGGGTGGAGAGAGACTCCATAGTGGACACAAGGGTTCTATTGCAGAAGGCAGAGACAGGAGCCAGTTGAGAGAAGCAGATGTTGGGATGGGGTGGTGGGCATTGCTGAGGCTTAAGTGAAGTCTGAAGGTTTTTGAAGAGTTTCAGTCTTGGGGTCTCACTGCCTTTTTGATTGGAACCCTGGCTCTGTCACTGACCAGCTCTGTGCTTCGGGACAAATCCCTTAACCTTCCAAAGCCTCTATTTTCTCATCCAAGAATGAGAATAACAATACCAACCTCTCGGAGCATATATCGTGAAGACTGACAAAGATTTTGTGCTTGACCAAATATTAGTCGGACTTCTGAACCTTCTCCAAAGCTTGTCTATACACTTTCTTGTAATATCCCTTTTTAGCAAGAACCCTGTTCAGTTTAGCAGGAACCCCTCTCATATCAGATCAGCACTGGTCTGTCAGGTTCCTCCTCCTCCACCCTCCCCCAGGGTGGTGTCTGATCTTCCTGTCCTTAGCAAAAGTCTGGTTTGGTGGATCCTGCCAGAATTCATCCCTCCACCCCAACCGTGAAGTTTCCGCTTAGTAATTTTCCATCCGCGGACCTCCACCCTGCTCCTTGGCTATAAATCCTCATATGTGCCCATGCTGTACTAGGAACTGAGCCTAATTTCTGTCCACCATTACACCGGTCCCTACCTATCACCATGGACCTGAGTAAATTCTTCTTTACTCTGCCTTACTAAGCATCGTTTAATTTTTTTCCTTTAATACGACAAAATAAAAACAAAATGCAAAAAAAAAAAGAAAGAAAGAAAGAAAGAAAAGAAAAAGAGCACCTATAGCTCTAATACTATAAATTTCTTCTCCACTCAACCTTTTAGAAATATCTACGCACAATTCAATCCTACAATGTTCAGGATTAGCACTGAGGGCATCAACCGCCTCAGTGGACTTTGGGAATTGTTCGCTGACCTTTAACGTCGTGTCAAATCTACCAGGGGGACCTAAGAGAGTAGTAATGCTAATAGCTACCGGGTGGCGTTTGGCAGAAGAAACCAAGGGAGGCTTTACCCCAGGCACAAACTCCCCCGCAGACCCTCGGGTAGCCAGGTGTGTGCCCTGAAGGCCTCCGCCCCGAAAGGCCGATCTTTTCTCTCCAGAGGTGCAGGGGATGGGTACTGGCGCTGTCTCAGTGCCAAAGGTGGCATTCAGGGCTCTGAGCCACACAACGTCGCGGAGGCTGGCACCCGCCAGCCCGTGCTGCTTGCAGAGTGGGGCGCATAGGGTGGGAACCGGGG